GAACCTCAATCTACTCCAACATCCTCTCAAAAGGATGGTGGTTTTACAAAAAGAGTCCATTCGCCCAAGGACTCGACACTACAAAGAGAGGCATCAGTTGCCCCTCCACACATGAGTGAACCACCAAGTCATGCTTTAGAGGCATGCGAGAAAATCACAGAGACTAAGGGTCTAGAACGCCCAAAGTCTCCACTCGATCCCTCTGCCCAATTAGGCTCTGAACCTATTAGGCACGAAATTGAAAGAACACCAGTAGGCTCTCCAATTGGGGATGTCCAAGGATCTGGTGGAAGTCCACGAGATGACTACGCCAAATCAGTCACTGAGGGCGCCTTACACTCCAAGGCTAATAGGTCACCATGTGTTGGTGATCTAGGTTCCCCGAGTGCCTATGTGACGAAGGAGGAGTTACAAACCTTCGCCACAGAGGTATTCAAGAGGTTGGATGAGTTGAAAAGCTTATTCTCCTCGTAACCGGTGACAGAGGCACTTAAACCTCTAACAGAGGCTCTGAAGAAGTTGACTTCTACAACTCATGAACTAAAGGCGGCCTTATCAGCCCTTCAGAGCTCTGTCCCCAATAAGGCTGATCTAACAGAAGCCTTCAGCGCACTGTCTCTCAACCCCTCTTCAATCCACACGCTCAAAAAAGAATTAACAGAAGTTGCCGCCCAATATGCTGCAGATGTAGTTTCCGCCGACTACACCAGGTATTCTGCCTTCAAGGATGAGATCAAAGAGATGTTCTYCTCTGCGGTCACTTATGGCATCGATTCTTCATCCTCTAGGGCTAACATTAACCATCTAGCCAGTCGCAGAGAGCTAGATGCAATCGTTGAAGCCCTTGGAGAGACCGTGCGGAAATACAACGACCATCTTCTGAAGGAAGCCCGAGCAAGCAACGAATCAATAAGAGACTGCACAAAGAAACTCGTCGCAGAGGGTAACAACTTCAGAAATGAGATCTATCGCTGCGTCTCTACCTTGAAGTGCGCCACAGAGATTGACATCAACAATGCCTCTGTGAATGCTGAGATGGTCATTGAAAAGATGGAGAAAGCGGCTTTCAAAGTTCTAAGGCGATTGAAGAAGGCTCCCCTCACTACATGAAAGACAGAGGCCACTCAAATCCATGATGATCAGGGAGGTGATGACCCTGATCGTCATGAGGGGGAGAAAA